CCTGCGCATCGCCGACCCACACCGCCCATTCGAATTAGTTACCGACGCAAGCAACATCGCCATCGGAGCCGTACTGCTACAGGACTTCGGCAACGGCCTACAACCCATCGCATACGAGTCACGAAAATTGCATCCGCCCGAGAAAAAATACGTGATACACGACCACGAAATGCTTGCGATCGTACACGCGTTCAAAGTGTGGCGCTGTTACTTGACCGGCGCAGACGTGACAGTACCGACAGACCATAAATCACTACAGTACCTCCGCGCACAGCCACACCTCAACCCACGACAGATTCGCTGGCTCGATTTTCTCGAGTCCAATTTTCACTACACGGTCACCTACAAAAAGGGAGCCTCGAACATCGCCGACGCACTGACCCGCCCCACTGCCCAGATCCATGCAATACTACTTACCCAGACCAACCCCCTACTGACAGGCCTATTTACCCATGGGTACCAAACGGATCCATTCTTCACAGGAGGAAATTCGCAGCAGTTCGCAGCAGCAAGGGGAGTCTAATACGTAAAGCTGGGACCGACCGCATCTGGGTACCCGGGTATACACTACTACGGGAAATACTCTTACAGGAGGCACACGACAGAGTTACCTCGGGGCATTTCGGGGTAGAGAAAGCACGGTAGCAGCTGCATCGGTATTATTACTGGCCCGAAATGTTGACCGACGTACAATGACACGTGGTATTGTGTCCCACTTGCCAGCTTATGAAATCATCACGGCAGCGGCCGGCAGGACAGTTGCAGCCGATACCACCCCCAGAGCGTGCTTGGCAGCAGGTGACAATGGACTTCGTCACGGGGTTACCGGCCGGGGCGAGTGGGAACGACGCAATCCTGGTCGTCGTCGATCGACTGACGAAAATGGCACACTTCGCAGCCTGCAAAAAATCAATCACAGCCGAAAAAACAGCACGCCTCTTCATCTCCACCTTTGTTCGACTGCACAGGATACTAGCAGCGATAATCAGCGACCGCGACACGAAATTTACCACCAACTTCTGGCGGAACCTGTGGCAGCAGTTCTGCACGTGACTACAGTTCAGTTCTTCGTACCACCCCGAAACCGACGGATAGAGAGAACGGACAAACCAGACTATGGAGCAACTCATCCGAGCCACGTGCGACGACCCAACCACCTGGGAACAATAGCTGCCAATCATTGAGTTCGCATACAACAACTCACTATCCGCCATGACCCAATAGTCATCGTTTTATCTGAACTACGAACAAGACCCGACAGTACCCATGACCCCGAATCCCGACAACCCGGTGCCACGAGCACAACAGTTTGCCGAAATTTTACAAGCAGCACGGACCCGGGCAGCAGATGCAATAAAAAAATCTAACATCATCGCTAAACGTAACGCCGACCGCCACCGCCGACCTGTCACTTACCAACCTGACGACCTAGTTTTACTCGACACTCAGAACCTCCGACTGCCCATCACCCCAAAACTCTCCCCCCGATATTGTGGGCCATTTCGCATAAGCCAGATGATTACGCCCGTCACCGCCCACCTCCTCCTCCCCACTGACTGGTACATCAGCCCCTCATTCCACGTCAGCCTGCTTCGCCCTTACGTCCCGTCCACAAGCCAACTGCCACGAAATCGCCCAGCCAGCATGGCACGACCGCCGACTGAACCAATCATCACACCCGAGAAAATTTCGGGCCACAGAGTTCGTGACCCTCGAGGAGCCCGAAGGATATAGTTCCTGATCCGCTGGAAAGACCGTACACCCACTGAAGACAACTGGGTTCCCCTGGACAGAGTCAGAAACCACCTCGTCCTTACAGAGTATCTGCGCAGCCGAAACTTCAGGGATGTCCACACACTTTCGTAAGGAGTGTTGGAAATAAGAAGTCGCTAGAGCGCAGCGGAAGCTCTAGGAATTAACGACGTCCCTACGGCGGGGCTATTGGTCACTCAGAGGTAGCTCTCCTGGCTTGTAACGTGGTGCCAAAGCAGCGGCCGAGGGTAGGCCGGACACAAGCTTGAGAATTGTGTAATATGAGCAAGGCATTACATTCTGTTATATAGCAAACGCATAGGGCAAACAGTTACCAAGGCGCAACTGTATAACAGTTGCGCTGCGTCGCTTGGGTTGCCTTGTTACAGTCGCGCTGACGAGACTTTTCAGCTTCGGCAAGGGCGCGGTATCCTGCCGCGCCCCGCATGTCAGTTTCGCGTATTGTAGACGATCACTCCTGCTGTCGATTCGACTCTTGAGCTGCCACGCGGATCGCAACTGCTGTGTTCGGTTGCGGCCCGTTGACTCGCCACCAGGTTCAAATCCCTCGCTGTGGCGAGCCCCTGTAAGCACACTTCGAACAGTGCACTTATAATAAAAGCATACAAACATATTCTTAACAAGGAGGACCTCCTTAGGGGGGGGGGTAGTGTAAGGAAAATTCATTTTCCTTACTTCGCGTCCACGCTCGGCGCGTACACCACTGTAGCACCACAGTCAGCACCGTTACCACTCGCAAACTCTCGCATCGACAACCCTCCTACCACTTCCGCATGTCGCACCCCGACCTCACGGCTCGGCGGGTAACCCGCTCCCGGGCCTCCGCTTCGACATTTTCCCAAACCTCAGTCCCAGGCCCGTCGCGCGACAACCACAGTCCATTACCGTTACCATTGTAGTTTCGCTATATTTTCTTCGCTCATGCCTTCGCTCATTGTACTCTTGCTTAGATAGTGCAATTCTAGCTCGCTCACTCAATTGCACTCGTAACAGCCACACATTTCGCATATGTCGTTGCTTGCAAGCGTCCACGAAAACGTAACTCTGATAGCCCGCGCTGGTGGTGACGAATCGAGGCCCACATTTAGTCGGTGGCTGTATTTGTGCTGGGCAGAGCGCCAATGGCATGCTAGGGCCAGGCGCGCTGCCGCATCCCTCGCTGTTAAATTCTCCCCGCCTCCAACCTCCGCCACCCATCCGTCTGGTCTGGGAGTTACCCTGCTGGTTGATTTTGTTTGCGGATGAAATCCCCCCCTCCCCCGTGTGGCTGGCTGGGTTGGGGGAGGTTATCTGGGAGGGAATCAGGGCATGCTTGGGGAGCTGGGTGTTCTATGGCTGGTGGCGGCGCCTGTGCCAGTTTGAAAAAATCGGTGCGTTGCGGTGTGGTGGTGTGGGTTGGAGAGGTGATTCAGGTGAACACACAGGGCAGGCCAATCTCGTGTCGCCATTTTGGGCTAAAATGCGCAGTCGGCGCTACATTTCGATACAGTGCGGCTCGTTCCAAGGTGCTCCCCAACCAATACTGTCATAAACCTTGACTCCGGTCAGCTTCAATTCCTCCATACTTTCTCATCCAACCGTCGAAATTGCTTTCACACAGCACGTTATTCTCAGCCGTACGTTTGCCTTCCATTTCAGAGCTCAGCGACCCGCGTCCCTGACTACAAGAAAGAGGTTCTTCCGTGGTCAATTGAGTTGAGCTTGGCATGTGAAGCTGGTCTGAGCAGCTCCGTCCGTCACGCAGAGCTGCTTCTCGTTGTGTGTCTGGAAAGGAATGGCTGGTGTGGGGGGGAAGACACAACACAAAAATCGCGCCTATCAGTTCCTCCCATGACCTGGAACAGCAGTTTCACGCCCAGCCCAGCAATCCTCACTCCCACCCCATCTTAGACCTTCATCTTCATCAGTGGACCTCTGTTGCCGACCGTGTCTCTCTTTCTTGACAGCCTGGGCGCATCCGCCTGCCTTTTAATTCAAAACCCGTTTACTGTTGACGATAGTCGCTCACTTGTTGTCGGCAATTGTTTTTGTACGGATCATCTATCTGCTCTTGCCTTTTCATGTACTCGTAGACGAGGCCATCCACTGAACTTTAGTCATCTCCTCTGCAACGTTTATGTCTATTTTCGGACCCACCGCTGTAGCAAGTCACCATCTCTCAGCTGCTTAGCGGCATCAGCGAAGCAATTTGACATTCTTTCGTTAACAACTACCATATCTCTTGGCATAGCATTATTGGCTCGGTAGTGCGAGCTGCTTCAGCACGCGTCACCACATTCAGCTGATTAGTTCTTGGCCATGAGTTCCAAGTCTAGAACTGTTTAGAGCCTTCTCGAACCAGTTATGGTGACATGATGCGTCTACTAGAGCAGTTTTTATGAGCTCCGATCCGTATAGAGCGAGACAGTACCGGGTCGACGTCGCGATCACGACGCGCCAACACTGAGCGCTTAGTCATTCGGGAGTATTGAGTTCTGTAGAGCAGCCACGTCAGCAGCCACCTCGGCTGGGTGAAGCAGCCTCCTCGGCTGGGTGAAGCAGCCACCTCAGCTGCTCCTGACCATGGCGCAAACCACCTCACCGCCACACGATTTAGTCCGCTGCTCTGTCCGCCGCACGCCTCTTGATCAGCTACAGTATCCACATGCGGTTCGGCTCCCATTGTCTCTTAAGGCGCCGCGGGACGCGGTTTGGCTCGCGGTTCTGCTCCTTGTGACGACCAGTGCTTTCTGTCCGGTTATTTTGCCGGCCGCGTCAGCCCCGGTTTGCAATATTTTCGAGGGCCGGTGGGTAGTTGACGGCAACCGACCGCCATATCAAGACTCATGCCCCTTTCTGGTAAGGTTTCATTTTTCAACAGCCTCTTTTTTGGGTTTCCTGATTGATAGGGCTTTTTTTTTTTTTTTTTTTTTTTTTTTTTTTTTTTTTTGGCACAATATTTTTGGCAGTGGACGCACGTTTCTTTACAAGTGACAACTGACAGAGACTTTGGTTGTTCCGTTTCCGTTTGCAGTTCAACTTGACCCGTTGCAGTACGAACGGGAGGCCGGACAGCGCGTACGTACGCTACTCGTGGTATTCAACAAGCTGCAAGAGAATTGTGCGATTCAACCGAACGTACGTACGAACAAGTGCAGGCTACGCTTCCCAATGAGCGTCGCCACATCGCATCCACTCCCCACACCCTCCCAGCCCATCCCATCAAGAAGCCCGCCGTCTCTTCACGAATGGTCCTTAATCTATGTAGGCAGAGAATTTCAGCACGGGTCTCTTCTCTCCCCAACCCCCGGTTTTCCCGACCCATCCCCTCCCCTCACCACCCCTACTCCCCCTTGCATTTGCTCCCCTCTCCCCTCCCCTCCCCTCAACCAACCACTCCTGCTCCCCCTTCCATATGCTCCGCTCTCCCCCCTCTCCCGCTATCACAACGCTACAGTCACTTCGGACAGCTAATAAAGAACAAGCAGTTTGCGATCATTGGCGATTCGCTCACGAGCGCCAACTTTGTGCCTTCGCTGCTCTGCCAGGTGTGTTCACGTGTGTGTGTGGGGGGTGGGGGGGAGGATGTTTTGAGTGGACTCAAAACATGCGATCATCGCTCACGAGCGCTAACTTTGTGCCGTCGCTGCTCTGCCAGGTGAGTGTGTGGGGGGCGGAGGAGGGGGGTGGAGAGTGTTTGCGTATGCATGTCACGGAAAACGGGGGGAAGAAGGGGGTAGGGTGGAGGGATTGTGCGTGTGTGTGTATTATCAGCTAGTAAAGAACAAGCAGTTTGCGATCATCGGCGATTCGCTCGCGAACGCCAACTTCGTGCCGTCGCTGCTCTGCCAGGTGAGTGTGTGGGGGGGGGGAGACGAGGGGGGGTTGTGAGTGTTTGTGATCATCGGCGACTCGCTCACGAGCGCCAACTTCGTGCCGTCGCTGCTCTGCCAGGCGAGTGTGGGAGGGTGAGGGGGGGTTGTGAGTGCTTGTGTGGGTGTGTGGAAGGGAACGGGGGAGAGGGGGAGGGTTAGGGGGGTGTGCGTGTGTGTGTATTATCAGCTGATAAAGAACAAGCAGATTGCGATCATTGGCGACTCGCTCACGAGCGCAAACTTCGTACCGTCGCTGCTCTGCCAGGTGTGTTCACGTGTGTTTGTGTGTAACAACGTCTGCTACGTCTATCTGCTGACAGTATTATTTGGCAGTTTAGTTGAAACTCAAAAACTGTAGCTGCTCTGCCAGGCGAGTGTGTGTTCTTGACATGTGCGTGTTCATGTGATTGAGTGAGTGCCCGTGAGCGTGTGCATTCATGCGTTGTGTGAGAGCTATGTTGCGAGCATGTGCGCGTGCTTGCGATTCTCAACCACAAAACCAATATACCACCTTAATTTCCCCAGCTTTGTGCATGAACCGACGCAACCCGTTGAGTCCGAATCCGGAGCCGTGCACGTTGATAGAGGTTTCAAATGACGAATGACGTGAGAACCGTCATTGACCATGAAAGCCAATATATTCATAACCGAATCTCCCTGTCTCCCCTTTGCCTCTCCTCTGTTCTGGGTGAGCCCAATGCCCGAGCCGCGCTCATTGAATGACTGGATCGGCGGATGAAGTGAACAGCTTCGAGAATACTGCCTCGGTCCACATGCATATAACCGAAATAACTACACCCAATTCCCCCCAATGTCTCTACAGATAAACCAGCAGTACTGGGTGAGTCCGAAGCCCGAGCTGCGCACGTTGGACGGCGGCGCGTGGTCCAAGGATTCGCCCGAGGCAGTGGCTTACGTGTACTCGATCCCGCAGCTAAACGCCAAAATCGTCATGCTCTGGGACGACTACCTCGTCAGGATAAACCAGAGTACGTTCTCTCGCTACACCCTAGATACAGCACATAAGCGATAAATCTATTCACGTTGTAGTGTAGAAATTTGGGCTTATGGGAATCGTACATCCCGAGGCAGTGGCTTATGTGAACTCAATCCCGCAGCTCAACGCCACGATCGTCATGCTCTGGGACGACTACATCGTGCGCATCAACCAGAGTACGCCATTTTACGAGTATTATCGAGGGGTGGCAGTGGGGTGGCATGTACAGTATTATCGAGGTCGTGGTGTACGTGTACTGTGTTATTCCATCCCGGACCTCAACGCCACGATCGTCATGCTCTGGGACGACTGCGCATCAACCAGAGTACGCCATTTTACGAGTATTATCGAGGGGTTGCAGTGGGGTGGCATGTGCAGTATTATCGAGGTCGTGGTGTACGTGTATTATTCCATTCCGCAGCTCAACGCCACGCTCCTCCCTCTCAACTTGTTCTTTTCTCTCTTCTCCCTCTCTTCCTATGCCTCCTCCTCCACACTTACTTTCAGACGCCACAATGCTAGCCAAGGTCGGAGGAATAACAGACCCGAACCCAGCCGACTGTCTGATAGACGTGGCCACGCCCAACCCGCAGTGGGCGCGCTACCTGGACGAGTGGGATGCGGTGCTGCTCGAGACCACCACGCACTGGCGCTCGCTCTCCAAGGGGCCGCGCATGGTGTATACGAACGAGAACTGGAGCAAGCTGAGCCTGGATCAGTACCAGGCGCACAGGTGGGTAATTTGCACGGTGCGGAGGTGATTTGTAGCTGGTGGGTCTCCTCTCTTGCTCGCTGTCCAAGGGGGCGCGCATGGTGTATGCGAACGAGAACTGGAGCAAGCTGAGCGTCGACCAGTACCAGACGCACAGGTGAGCCGTTTGTGTTGAAACCTCTGTTTTATCTGGTCTCTTCAAAACACACTCTCTTTCCAAGGGCCCGAGAATGGTGTAGCAAGCTGAGCGTCGACCAGTACCAGCCGCACAGGTGAGCCGCAGCTGTTGTATGTTTTTTGAGAATTCTCAAAATACGTAGCTGGTGCCATCCACTGCCTCTGCCTCTGCCTCTGCCTCTGCCTCTGCCACTGCCACTGCCTCTGCCTCTGCCTCTGCCTCTGCCACTGCCACTGCCACTGCCTCTGCCTCTGCCTCTGCCTCTGCCTCTGCCACTGCCACTGCCTCTGCCTCTGCCTCTGCCTCTGCCTCTGCCACTGCCTCTGCCTTTGCTTCTGCCTCTGCTTCTGTACCCTATGCATGCACACACCCACTCCCCCCACTGCATTTCCTCCCCTCCCTCGACCGCCCATTCTCAGCCAAGCCCTGACGAGCGTTCGCACGCACTTCAGCAATCGCAAGAAGCTGGGGAAAGTGCTGCCTGTTCCGTTCTTCATGACGGCTCCCCCGCAGCACAACGCCAAGAAGGTTGGCGGGAACGGCGTGTGCGGGTCACCTGGCCGGATGCTGAACGCGAAAGAGGTGAGTGCCTCCTCGCAGCACGTAGTGTAGCTTTGAGACACTTGCTACACGCGGCCAAGAAGGTTTGCAGCAACGGCGTGTGTGGGTCACCTGCAAGGCTGCTGAATGCGAACGAGGTGAGGCTGAAACGCGCAGCGCAGGAGGTGAGGCATAAAAGGTAGCTTCGGTTCGGGGTTCGGTAGTGTGCCAGTCTTCCCTGAGAATGTTTTGGTTATTACTATACTATTAGATTATTATTAATATTTTATTGTTGCTGTTGTTATTATTATCAGTAATACTGTTATAAATACTATTACTACTATTATTATTAGTGATACTATACTATTATTGTGATTAATACTACCATTACTATTATCATTACTATTAAAATTATCAACGTGCACGTGACCAGGAAGCTGCCACGAATGAAGCTAATCCTGCCCATCCAAAGCAAGCCTACATTGCATTTTCCATCCCCTCTCCCTTCCCCATTCCGTCCACTCCACTACCCGCCCATCCCTAACAAATGGGCAAGCTACAGCGCACCAACGTGCAGATGAAGCTCTTTCTGCCCATCCAGAGGCAAGCCTTCCCTGTCCTCGCATCCACTACCCTTCCCATTCCCCCCTCTTCCCCCCACCCAATCCCCACCCAATCCCAACAGATGGGCAAGCTACAGCGCACCAACGTGCAGATGAAGCTGTTCCTGCCCATCCAAAAGAAGGTCTTCCCTCCAGACTCGGGCGTTCGCCGCATGGACATCACCACTATGAGCGCCTTCCGGCCCGAGGCTCACATTGGCGGTTTTATGGGCGGGGTGAGTGTCCCGAGGCCACACCGCATGTTGTGGGGGGGTAGCTCATGTAGGCTCATGTAAGCTCAGCTCATGTGAGCTCATGTGTGCCTTGTGTGTGTTCGCCGCATGGACATCACCACTATGAGTGTCTTCCGACCCGAGGCACACATTGGAGGATTCATGGGTGGGGTGAGTGGTTTGAGGCCGTAAAAGGGGGGTGTGAGCATGCATGTGGATAGAACACTGTATGCATCCATAGTGATCAACCCCACTCCTGATACCCACCCTCCCTTCTTTTCCTTCCCATGCTTTCCTTTCATTGTAAAACCCAAACCCCAAACCCTGGCAAAAGAAGGGATCCGATTGTCTGCACTGGTGCCAGCCTGGGGTGCCGGACGTGTGGGTCGACCTCTTCTATGAGATGCTTTGCCGGGAGCCCCTCATCAACCCCACTCCTGACTCCCATTATCCCTTTCTTTCCTCCCTTTCCCTGCCAGAAGAAAAAGGGATCCGATTGTCTGCACTGGTGCCAGCCTGGGGTGCCGGACGTGTGGGTCGACCTCTTCTACGAGATGCTTCGCCGGGAGCCCCTCATCAACCCCACTCCTGACGGCCTCTACGCTCCTGCACCTCCCCCCAAGCCTAGCCCCAAGCCTAGCCCCAAGCCTAGCCCCAAGCCTAGCCCCAAACCTGTTCCGAAACCTAGCCCCGAACCGAGCCCCACGCCTAGCCCCAACCCGAGTACCAAGCCTAGTCCCAAGCCGAGCCCCAAACCTGTTCCCAAGCCTAGTCCCAAGCCTGCTCCCAAGCCCAGTCCCAAGCCGAGCCCCAAGCCTGCTCCCAAGCCTAGTCCCAAGCCCAGCCCCAAGCCTGTCCCCGACCCTCCACCCAAACCCAAAACCTCGCCCACCCCATCCCCCCCCGCTTCCAGCTTCAAACCCCGAGAGCCTGGCAGCCCGGGGGGCTTTAAGTTGCGCTCTGTGCTCTCTGAAGCTCCTTTTGAATCAGATGACATGGCGGCTCTGGCACAAGAAGATGAGCTGTCTACCGGAGCTTGTTGTAACAATGTTACCAGCAGCACGGCCAGGTTCGGCAGCGAGCTGACAGTCCTCCCTGTTGGCGAAACACCCGAGCCTGAACCTGTGGAGCTGGGAGGTTCGGTAGATCCCAGATTGGTAAATGCTCCTGTGGAGGGCCGTATGTTCCCTGGGGTTCGGCACCGGACTGGGAGAAGGAGAGTAGGGTTTTTGCATCTGAGGCTTCGGAGGCGTCAAGGGTGACGATCAGGCTTCTATGAGGTTGCAGGAGGAAAGGCTCCTTCTGTGTGGAGCAGAAGGGAAGGTGCGAAGCAGTGCTCCCCTAAGCTTACACATCAATCTGGGACCAGCGCAGTGAGGGGAGTTGCATAGGGTGAGCTGTGGCTGCAATGAGTGTGGTCGGTGGGTATGCGGTAATAATGGGCAGAGCTGTGGTTTCCTGAAATAAGTAGCTTGCACTGTATTCCGTAACCGCAGGAGTTGATAGACTGCAAATCATCGCAGTAGGGGTAGGGTGTGTGAGAGATTGCTGTGCCACTCTAAGCAGGGCAATGCCGCAGACATAGCAGCGCCGAACAAGGGCATAATGTCCATGTTATCGGCTTCTCTGCACCTAATATTGTATGTAACCATATGTGAACAAATATCCTCTCATTAAGGCTGTACTGAAACAAACTTTCTCGCATCTATTTTGACAAGCTTCAATGACTGCATGAATAGGGCAAGAAAACCAGCAGAAATGATAACTTGAAAAACATTCGTTAGTGCCAAACAACAGTGAAGTCAAACCTCAGTCCCTGTCTCTCCGCTTCTTCTTCCTTCCTTATCCTTCTGCTTCCTCTTCCTCCTCGACCCACCGCTGCTGAATCAGACACCTCCTCACTCAGTCCCACTATTCTCCTCACGCTCACTCCCACCACTCTCCTCACTCTCACTCCCACCACTCTCCTCACTCTCACCCCCACTACTTCCAAGTTTTTAGACTGTCTCAAAACTCAGTCCCTGTCTCTCCGCTTCTTCTTCCCCTCTTTATCCTTCCGTTTCCTCTTCCTCCTCGCCCCACCGCTGCTATCACTGTCATCAGACACCTCCTCACTCTCACTCCCACTACTCTCCTCACTCTCACTCTCAGTCTCGTCTCTCCGCCTCCTGTGCTTGCGTGACGATGACTTCTTGCTCTTGCTGCTCCGCTTCCGCTCCTTCTTGCCTTTCCTCCGCCTCCTCCGCCTGTCGTCGTCAGAAGACGAGGAATCGTCGTCGTCACTATCCGATAACGAATCGTCGGATAACGAATCATCGTCGTCTGAACTGTCAGACTTTCTTCTCTTCCTCTTACTGCTGCTCTTTTTCTTGTGCTTCTTTTTCTTCTTGTCTTTCTTTTTCAAATCGTTTCCTTTCTTCTCCTTCTCCGAAGCGCCATCCCCGGCTTTCGAGGGTATCAAACCACGAGAACGCGCCGCTTCAGCCAAATCCCCGTCACCGTCATCATCGCTAAGCGACACGTCACTCTCCTCTTCCGCGAATTCCATCCCCGGCCGTTTCTGGCCGGCCAACCCTCCAGCAAGCTCCGCCGGAACGTTAACGTCCTCCTTGGCCGTCAGAAAATTCCGGCACTGAAACGTCAAATGGCCGACACGATGGCACTTCTTGCACGAACCGCGAGACGTGTCGGCTCCAGATCCCGTCAATTTCGCGAGCTGCAGCAGTCCTTGGAAACTGTCGTACGCGTTATCCTCGCCGTCGGCTGCTTTCTTCTCGTCAGGAGCGTACGGATCGTACCCGATGGCGCTCTGCCAGATGCCGTGCGTTTGCAGGGCTGCGCTACTGTGCACCCTGTTGTTCGCTGGCATGCGAACGCGGCCCGCCGTGGCCGGCATGGTGACGAGCTGAAAGTATCACGCTCTAGTGAATAAAAGTTATGATAAACCTACTAATCGATGGGCTGAAGGCAAAAGTTCCAAGAGAAGCTTGAACAGTGACACTGCCGATGTGAGGTAGGAAGAGAGAGACGTGAGAGCGAACGTGAAAGAAGTGATGCGTTTTGTTGGAAACCCTCAACGGGAGGATTTGCATGCTGATTTATAGATGGTTTGCATGGACAAGTAATCCGCGACTGTTGCAATCCGAGAGAATTACAAGAAGCGTGTTCATTGCGGAAATACTATTACGACGTACAAAATTGCACTACAAGCGTTTCCATTTGCAAAACCAAGTATTAAAGTACATCACCTTTTTGGTTTACGAGCCTTCCTCAGCTCCCTGTTTCTATCACGTTTCTTCCTAGCCTTGGCGGCCCGTTGTGCCCTAGTCTCTGTAAGCACCGCTTGCATCTTTATCCACTGGTCCTTCTTCTCCTCTTTAATCCGTAGCAGCCGTGACATCACCCTTGGAGGTCCCTTCTTCCCGTCCAACAACCCATGCTCGTCTAGTTCTTGTAACAGTGCCGCAACGTCTGTGCGCATAAGAGCGTTTTCATATATGCACATAGTATTGGTTGGTGTAGGATGTGGTGAGTCTTCCAAGGATAGATCTTGACAACTTGGAGCGTCCTGTATGGAAATGGGGAGGGTAAACACGAGGAATGTGTCAAGGGACTGCGGAGATTACTTTTATGTGACTCACTCACATTCACTGACATAATGGTCAGCACAAACCAAGACCTCGGTTGACACACCTTGACCTGCGTTGACTCACCTTGACCCATCTCTCAACGGAGTACCCTCTTGCTGCCAGCACACCCTCTCTCTCCTCGTCAACTCGAAACGGAGCCCCCATGGCCCGCGGCCAGCTGCGCACAGTGCGCTTCAGGTGCCTCAGATTTCATCACCGGAACAAACCCCCGTTGACCCCTGTTGACTCACCTTGACCCATCTCTCCACAGAATAGCCTCTAGCTGTCAGCACGCCCTCCCTGTCCTCGTCAGCTCTGAACGGAGCCCCCATGGCCCACAGCCAGCTGCGCACGGTGCGCTTCAATGACACGCTGCCACCTGGCATGCCGCCGCCGCCGCCGCCGCCGTTGATGGTGCGCTGGAGCATGCCACCTGTCACGATGCTGACGTGGCGGGGTGCTGGAACGCCCTGGAGAGCTGCGTCCTGTTGCAATGGATGGATGATGGGATGTGAGACGATGGTGGGGATGCAAGGGCATAGTCGAGATGACAAGGGGGATGGAAGGGACGGAGTGACACCTTAGGGCATGGCATGGCATGGCATGGGATTGCCAAGTAGGGTGGTAACGAGTTGACTGACCTGCACCATGTCGAGTCAGTGATGGGGAGCAACGAGGCCGCACGAGGGGAGAGAGAGGGGAGAAGAGATAGAGAGTGACAAAAAGAAAGAACGAGCAAGGAGAAAGGAAAGGTGCATCATGAGTTCACTCACTCAAAAAAACACCTGGAGAGAGGAGGTGACACGACAGACCTGCACCATGTCGAGCCAGTAGTGCAGAGCAACGAGGGCAGCTCCAGGAGAGAGACAGGGGTGGAGGAAGAGAGAAAGAGGTGGAACGAGAGGCAGAGAAAATGAAAGGCGACCAAGAGGGAGAGGAGGGTGACTGACCTGCACCATGTCGAGCCAGTGGTGTAGAGCAACGAGGGCAGCTCCAGGGGAGAGCGTGCGAACGTCCAGCTTCCAGTCCTCTGCCGCAGCCCTGGTGGGAGGCGGAATCGGCAAAGGAATGACAGAGGGCAGGAGGACAGGGGAGAAGACTTTTGAGTCGACTCAATTGTCACCTCATTACACCGGGGGAGTGCGTGCACACATCCAGCTTCCAGTCTTCAGGTGCAGGCAGGAGTTGTTGCGGAAAAGAAGAGGCAGGCGGAGGGCAGAGAGAATGTTCATTGGGTGACAAGGAGCGGGTGGGCGGGTGGGAGAGCACGCACACACCCAGCTTCCAGTCGTTGGCTGCGGCCCTGGTGAGGGGGCGGAGGTTTGCAGAAAGGCACTGGTTGAAGGATGGAACACCAACTGTACCAGCTATTCTGCTGCGAAACACGCTCACAGGTACACCACATAACGGTTGACTCTGTAGAAGAACCAGAGGGCACACAACCAGACACCATAGAACCGCACACATCACCGAATTACACGCCACCCAACCGCACAGCACCCACCGAGCGATGAATCGCGGATACGCTCTGCGGTGGGTTGAGAGGAGGAAGAGGCGGTGGGCCCTGGCTCGCTGACCGAAGCACCACAGCAGGTCTATTAGCACGTTGACTGTGCTCCTCGCTGCACTGCCCTCCGTGGTTGTGCTGCTCTTCATTGCATTCCCCTCTGCCACCCTTCCCTCTGTACCCGTGACTGCACTTCCCTCGTTCACCGTGGTGCTCAATGTAACCCCCCCTGCCACATTCCTTGCTTCATTCCCATTCGCCTTGCTTTCTTCTGTGGTCCAGCTGGCATCCCTTGCCAGCAGCCACGTCAGCAGACTGTCAATGTCCGTCCAGGTGTCGTCGTCACATTGGAGGAGTACTCTGTGGGGAAGGGCAAAGGAGGAGAGTCGAGGAGAAGGGAGGAGAGGAGAGGAGAGGAGAGGTAAGTGAGGAAAGGGAATCCAATTACACAAAGGAGAAATGCTCGCCCAGCATTCTGATGAATCCGAATCCTGGCAACACCTCCCACCACAGTGGCCCACGACCTGTTGGCAGGGACCAGTCCCTGCTTATCCCGTCTCTCAATCACTCACCTCTCTCCACCATTCCTCACCCCTCTCCCCCAGACGTTCACCTCTCAGGAACATCAAACCCAACGTAAGAAGGAGCTTCTAGCAGAAAGCAGCGGCTTCCAGCCGCCCCTCCTCCTACCACCGTGGCCCATGCATTGTGAGTAGGGATCAGCCCAAGCTCACCTCTCAGGAACATCAAACCCCACGTGAGACAGAGCTTCAAGCAGAGCGCAGCAGTCTGATAGATCTCTGCACCGCGCAGCACCGCTCACCACCGTGGCCCACGTCTTGTAGGTGGGGATCAGCCCCAGCTCCCGCATCTGCCGCACCCGCACTGCTGCTTCCTGGTAGTTTCCCTCCCGCAGGTATGCATGCACGAGGGAGGTGAGCTGGACGATGTCTGGCCTGGGCGGCGCGAACGGTGTGGTGGCTGCTGATGCTGCTGACGTGGCAATTGTGGTTGACGTGGCGTCTGACTCTGAGGGTACATTGTCACCTAATCTCAAGCCAATTGCTGCTGGAGATGATGCTGAGAAGGGAGGTATGGCAGGTGGCTCAGCAGTTGGTGCGTCAGATGGTTCGGCAAATGCCTCGGCAGGTGATTCGGCAGGTGATTCGGCAGGTGATTTGGCAGGTGATTCGGCAGGTGATTCGGCAGGTGGTTGCCTGTGGTGGTTGAGCTGTCGCTCCAAAATACCCTCTGC